GCATTTTTACATGCTTTTGAATTGCTAGGTTGGCAGAAGCTGAGAAAAGTAACGGGAGCTCACTCCATTACATGGCACTAGGGATTCGAACCTCCAAACTGCCAACCTTTCTGAGCGACAAGCTCAGTGTCTGAGCCACCGAGCCACCATGTCCCTTAGATCTGTGGAAATGCCACAGCAATCCTTCATTCTGCTGTGATGGCTTAGTTTCCCCAAACTATTTTTTAAATCCCTGCCACACCTTAAAATTGTTAATGGCTGCTGGTGGGTTGTCTTCTTTTAGGTTTTGCCATCCTTGTATTTGACTTTGCACTGATATCATAGCCCCAATCTCTTAATCTTGACCTGTGTCAACCAGGTAACCCTATACACATTTATTTGGTGTAATATAAAACTATAAAACTCAGTGGACAGAGCTGGAAGGACAACAATGTTAAGGATTTATTTATCAAACCATGCTAAACAAAGGAATTGTACCATAAGGCTGGGCAGGGATTATTTCCAGAAAAAGGGAAGCGGTAAACCAAAACACATATATGATCTCTTTGAAGTGTTTGAGGAAGTTGAGGATGGGAGGATACTGCCAGGAGAATTGTTCAGTCCTATTCCTCTACGTGGTAGCACACCCTCATCACACATCTGGGTGTCTTGCTTTGTACCAAGCAAGATTGCTGTTAAGACAAAGCGCTAATGGGAGAATTGCCTAACTTGTTTTGGAAGTGTCTGTTTTTAGTGGAGGCAGGGACATTGAGGACAAGCTGCTTTGTTAGTATGTCATTCTTCCCCATTGCCTTTTCAACTTCCCTGGCAGGCTGGTGCTGCAACTCCAGGGATACCTTTGGGCTTGGAATACCAAGTTGGATGAGACTGTTTCCAATGGAGGGAATGGGATATTGTCTTAAGAATTTCCAGCTTTCCAAATATTTCTGAGATTGGGAACTGGACAGGAGTTAACAAAGTTAGGATTGGAGAAAGTGGGTGTTGGAGCATGGGAAAGAATGGCTGGTGCAGATGACCTCTTGCCTGTACATATTTTTGGTGTCACACCCTGAAATTTCACATCCACTCTTGGGAGAGTTGAGGAGGAGGAGAACCTGTGGTATCTCGAGTTTGTGACCAAATCAAGTGTCCCTGGCACATTCTTGCTCCAACTTTCCCAGCTCCAGAAGTGTTTCATGTGAAACCATGTAAATAGTTAAATTTGCCATCTGTGGGTCTCACTCTCATCTTTATAAAAGTGTGGACTAAGGGATGCATGAGCAGACAAAAAGGTAGCTGATGCCGAATGCATTTTGACTCTGCCAGATGGTCCTTGGGTATAATCATCTGTTAGCGGTCACTCATAGTTAAGGTGCTGAATGAGGAGGACTCATCCTTGGAGGCTCATGCCTGTTGTAGCAAGTCTCAGCCATATGATTTAGATTGTTTCAAATATTCCCTGCTGGCTTTCCATAACCAGTCAATGGGGAAGCCATCAGTAAGTTGCAATGTTGTGAGGTCCCTTACTTAATGCCTGCTTGGTCCTTGTTTAAATCTGGCAACTGAAACTGCTGTTGTTAAGTGATGTCATCTGACAATATAGTCACAAGGCATTGTGCTTCAGAACTATATTGCTTAGCAACAGAGTTCCCGGTTCCAATTGCAGTTGTAACCTGAGGACTATTTGTAATATATGCCCACTTCAAGGATTGTAGCCAGAAAGCAAATATGACGAAAGTATCCCTAAACTGCTTTTAAGTTGTCCTCTACCTCTACTAATGATCTAACAGTTGGTTTGTTGTGGATTTTTTTGGGGGGAGGGACTAGTAGGCCCAATTCTTAAGTAATGTCTTCAGCCATTTTACATATTTTATATTCAAGGGTTCCTTATGGGCTCCAAGGCATTTCTGCAGATACAGTTATTGTAATTCTAGTGGTTGACAAATTGCGGAATGGCAGCTTTTCACATTTTTTAAAATTAAAACAAAATCTAAATAGGATTTTAAAAATATGACAAGAGAAGAGCCTGAAAGGCATCCTAAGAGGGACATGGGCAGTATATAAAAAACTCTCAGCAAATGTCTGTTGGTTTGAATAGTAAGCTGCTGCCCCAGGAATTCTCTGGGTTTCTCTAAATGTATTGCTATTGTGTTATTTGACATCTGTCCAAATAATGCAATTCACTTTGAACTATGGACTTAACTGTGCAGCTGCCGTGTTTTCATGAAGATTTTTAACAGAATATTATGCATAAATGAACACTGACCAAAAACTTACTGGCCAATGGAAATGTTCATAGTGGGAAGCACAAAAAATTACTCAAAAAGTAACCTTTGGGAAAATAACAAATGCAGGCCTGTGCATTCTTAATCTACTTTATTCTGCCTTTGTAAATAACATATTCAAAAACAAAGTTAATCGGAAAATGAACCTTTTAAAACCACGATGATCTTTTAATTTAGGGCCTTCCACTTTAACTCCCAGCATCTATATTTTGGCAGTGATTAGTCAGGGGATGCAGCACTTGGCACACGGTCAGATGCATCACTATTTTTACATATTTCTAATGGTGATCCTAGCACACAGTGCTTGTAGCGTTGGTCCAAATTGCACGTAATAAAAACCACTTAACTTCCTTCGCCCTGCAGATATGAAGATGAAATCAACCATCGTACTGAAAAGGAGAATGAGTTTGTCCTCCTGAAGAAGGTAAGTGGCAGGCTGATCCATGTTCCTTGTTTAATTATCACAATTTTGAGATTTTGTGAATGAGTCTTCACTTACAAGGGTGCACTCTTTCCCTCAGGATGTGGATGAGGCTTACATGAACAAGGTTGAATTGGAATCCCGCCTGGAATGTCTGACGGACGAGATCAACTTCCTGAGGCACCTTTATGATGAGGTAGGTAGTGGATTTCATTGAGCGAAGAGCGGCTTTTTTAAATGAACCCTTTTTGAAGACGTGGGCAGGGCAAGGAACGGTGGTGTCTGATCAGATGACAAAAAGGCTGTCATCTCATCATGTTCCCTTTCTACATACCAAAACAGGCCAGACTGGCCATTGCAGCTAATTTCAAAGACTCCTTGGGCTAGTTAATGGGCTTGGCAAGCCTAATAAGAGGCTGCACCAAGATGACTCTAGTGTTGTGTCAAAGCCTTTTAAGAAGTTCCAAACAAGGTAATTATTTTTATGTATACTTTATGTACTGTGTTTTCCCAAAAATAAGACCGGGTCTTATTTTCTTTTGACTCCTGAAATAAGCATGTGGCCTTATTTTCAGGGAGGTCTTATTTTTGAGGTGCAGGAGGTGGGCGAGCGTGGTCACCTGGCTGCTGCCGTGTTGCAATATTTTCAGGGAGGGCTTATTTTCAGGGGTGGGCTTATTTTAGCACATGGGCTCAAAAGCCCAATTGGGCTTATTATCTGGGGAGGTCTTATTTTTGGGGAAACGGGGTAATATCATATATCATGTATATTATAGTTTGCCTTTCTACACAGTGACATTCTGATCTAGTTTCCATTAGTGCATGAAATATGAGAATCATGTAGGAAGCTGTAGTAAGTTGCTTACTATTTTATACAAAGGAGAACTTTTGGTGAAACATTTGTGTGGGGAAAAGGCTGAAATGAGAGGGGTGATGATGCAAAGAACATAGAGCCAGGATACATTGGGGTTGGTGGGGAAGACACGTTTTCTTCCTTTTATACATTATGTTTAGCCTATTTTATGACCTATATTAAATGTGTTTTTTTTTCTTTCCATGCAAACGGGACAGAATAGATGCTGTCGAGTTGTGGCAGCTATAGTTAGAAATAGCTTTGAGGCTGCAGAAATTTAGAGACTACAATCAGCTTTAATGAGGATATCCCTCACAAAGTCCTGTTTGATTTCATTTGCTTTGCTAGGAAACACACACGTTTTTTTTTTTTACTGAAAACTTCCCTAGAGAAGTTTCAGGTTTAGCAAGGTTCCTCTTCATGTTCGACAGTGCTCGGCCTGCAATAAGTTTTCTCTTTAACTATCTAACTCAGTAGCCACCAGCCTTTCGGGCAGCAGGGGACCGGTTCTGTGGAGAAAGGTTTTTCCATGGGTCAGAGGGGACAGGGTTTCGTTTGTTGCCTGCATCCCGCGGATGGGACTTTGCTTGTTTGCGCGGCCTGGTTTCTGTCATGCCATGGCCCAGAGTTAGTCCACAGACTGGGGGGATTCAACTAGTTCTGCCATTAGTTTTGAGACTTCACCTGTCGAATAAGAAAGAAGTTTCTTGTGAGTAGAGGAATGAGTAGGGAAGATTTGAATCCGCACCTCATGGTTCCCTGTTTGATTCCGGATAATTTCTAAATGTTACCTTTTGATACAGGAGCTGCGTGTCCTGCAGTCTCAAATCAGCGACACCTCTGTGGTGGTGTCCATGGACAACAACCGCAGCCTGGACTTGGAAGGCATCATTGCTGAAGTCAGGGCTCAGTATGAAGAAGTTGCTAACAGGAGCCGGGCTGAGGCAGAAAGGACATACCAGATCAAGGTGAGGCTCCGTGCTGACTCTGGCTTTCCTCCACCATACCTGATGAAAAATTAATTCCCAATGAAGAGCTACAAGGCCTTCATTCATGTTAGGAGTTGGGGGATAACTCATGTCACAAAAGGAAGGAATCAGTGCTTCATGCAGCGACAAAAGAGCAGCAGCATTCACTCTCTCTTCCAAAGCAGGGGTCTCCAACCTTGGCAACTTTAAGACTTGTGGACTTCAACTCCCAGAATTCCTCAGCCAGCGCTGGCTGAGGAACTCTGAGAGTTGAAGTCCACAAGTCTTAAAGTTGCCAAGGTTGGAGACCACTGCTCTGGAAGCTCTTTCACTTTGCTCATCTCCACCTCCTTTGCAGAGCAACGGAATCCTTTCCTCACTCTTTTTATTTGTTGAAAATATTGGCCTTTTTACGGGGAAAGTCTGGAGAATCCCCGTAGTGCAATAACTCTTTATTTTATCGATGGATTGATTTGTCAAATGTCTAAAGCTGCCTGATTCCATGATAACTCTGGCTAGCGTACAGTGTTAAATACAATTGAAAAGCAATAACCAGCAAAATGGAGAGGTGTTTAGAGATAGTTAATAGTAAAAACTGTAAAACAATAGAGTTTGGTGTGGTGGTTAAGGCATCAGGCTAGAAACTGGGAGATTAATAAAGAATCACAGAATTGGAAGATACCTTGGAGGTCTTCTAGTCCAACCCCCTGCTCAGGCAAGAAATCGTATACCATTTCAGATAAATGGTTGTCCAATCTCTTCTTAAAAACCTCCAGTGCTGGAGCATTCTCAACTTCTGGAGGCAAGTTGTTCCACTGATTATTTGTTCTGTCAGGAAATTTCCCCTTAGTTCTTGGTTGGTTCTCTTCTTGATTTATCCCAAAAGTGCTTTTTCAGGAGGCAACTGGACTTTCTTGTTTTTCCTTTGAAGACATTTTGCTTTTCATCCCATTCCCCACTATCCTGTCAGAACTGAAGAAGCTTCTTGGATGAGAAGCGAAATGTTTCCAAAGAAAAAATAAAGTCCAATTGCCTCCTAAAAAAAAGCACCTTTGGGACAACCAGACCTTCAGTGATTGAGAATCCCTAACACTCTTCTTGATTAGTTTCCATGTATTGCTTCTTCTTCTGCCTTCACAACTTAAATTCAGTTGTGGCTTCCATTTTCCCTTGGTGGTGGTCCTAGCTATCCTTTCATGGCATGCTGGCTAGGGTTGAGGTTTACTATTTGAGTTGTGGTTGGGAAAAACAAGTGTTGTTTGGTATTCAGTATAACTTGGACAGTATATTAAATAGCACTATTATGCCAATAATGGAAGCCTTAGATTATGATTTTCATTGCAAATAGAGAAGGCAATTGAGACTAGGAGACAATTACTTGCCTGAGGCTATCCAAGTAATATTTGTGGTTCACTTGAGTTTTATGATGCATTTTTCAGGTTGTTAGTCAAACACTCATGGCAGCTTCAGTAGACCAGCTGTTTGAGTGGAAAAGGAGGCTAGATAACTGGACATTTTCCTCTTGAGATTCACTTTTGCATTTATTCTCTTGGCTCAGATGGGATTGGAGAATGAATATCAAAATCAAACAAGCCACATGATAGCTTTAGGTAATATTGCCTACAGCTATCATGTGGCTGGTTTGATTTTGATATGTGAACTTTAACTGTTGTGATTTATGGTTCAGTATGCGAGGTATGCGAAAGCAAGCCTCTGGTTTATATAGCTGACGGTGCTTAAAATAAACCAGAGTTTAGAGTGTGTCAGTCAATGAATTCTCCAATCTCCTCTGCCTGCCCTCAAAGTAATCTAGACCAGTGTTTCTCAACCTTGGCAACTTGAAGATGTCCGGACTTCAACTCCCAGAATTCCCCAGCCAGC